TAAAATCTAAAAATATAACGTTTTCAATTTAATTAATTGTGTAGCCCTGCAGTGTAGCTTGCAAAAAAAACAGTCTGTGAAATGCCAACATATCTAAACCGTTGAATGACTTCCGCTTCCTTGTGCGAGTGGGTTTGTCGTCGGGCTGTTGCGGTCAGGTAGAGAGAAGGGGCCTTGTGACGCCGGCAGTGAAAGCAGCATTCAAATAAGCAGGCCTCTCTGCTGGGCACATGGGGTTTTCCTCCCTCATTTTCCTCCTATGTCCTCAGCATGACTGTGCTGAATAAAATCTCTAAATTAATTTGAGCAGTGCTCCGTGGAGAGCAGCGGCGCCACGCTGAGTAGCAGCTCTCCCCAGTGTTCATCCACACACAGCTGTGCTCACCATCATCAGCCATGAGTCAACAGCACCGCTCTGCTCTCCTCACATCCACCGCACAGCACTGAGGCCACAAGGCTGAAGCAAACTCTTGTTTTGATAACTATTTTACATCGATGATTATTTTATGGATTGAAGCCTTTAATAGATTATTCAGCGTTTGTAAGTAAATATATTTTGTGATTGAATAATATTTGGCCCACACACAGACAAAAAAAGAAAGAGGTACATTTTCATTCAAGTGGAGCAATTACTTTAGATGAAAAGGCAACTAAATGATTGATGAATCATTCTGTTGTTTTGAATACTTGTAGGTTTTATGGATATGGAGCAGATTAAAGGCAAATGTGATGTCTTATTTTTGGATAAACATAGTGTTTTTGAAGTCATTATTATTTACAACAGTATCCCATTGTACAATACCTTCCATGATAAGCAGATTTAGATCAAGTTTTAATCTAAACTTTCACTTGAGTTTGTTTGTTTTGGCATAACGTCTGTTCTATATGTATTTATTATGTTAGGGTGCTTTCACATCTGTAGTTCGGTTCATTTTGTCCGGATCAAGGGCAATAAAGGCTTGTACACACCGGGACGCTTTTCGTTTGCGTTTATCGTCAGCGTTTTACAAGACGTTTTTTCACATTTAAACCCAAGAGATTTTCACTGGCGTCAAACAGAAAAGTATGCAAAATCACTCCTTGACGTTAGATGGCGCTACACAACTTTAAGCTTCTGACACCCCGCTTATAACACAGAAGAGGAAAAGAGGAAGTTCACACGCTTGTTGTTAAAGTTACTGGTGACCCGAACAAGCATGGATGGTTCAAGCAGCAGCTCCAGCGATGAAGAAATTATTATTGTTCATCAGAGCAATAAGCAGCTCCACGTTCATATTTCGCTTGAGCGCCCTCAAGTGCTGTTTTAAGCTCCCTGTACGTGAACAAAAGTGCTAATCTGATTGGAGGAGAAGGTTTTGACGCGGCGCGTCAAAACAAACAAATAAATTAGCATGAGTCGTTTATTTTTATTATGCTTTTTCGCCTGACGTTTTGCCCGTTGGTGTGCACGATCACATTGGCGCCCTTTATTTAGTCACGAGTCGTTAAACGTCGACAAAAAACGCAAGCAAAAAGCGCCCTGGTGTGCACGGGCCTTTAATGATACATTGTAGCGTTTTGTGCAGCCTTTGAGTCCTTTTCACAGCACACCAAATGCTTTGGTCTGAACCAGCTTAAAAAAAACAAAATGCAGTCATCTGACAAAACCCACATCACTCATTGGCCAGATATTGTTAAACATATTGACTAAACTGTTAATCGATTGGTCAGAATTCACGTACGGGAAAATGCCAAATGAACGCCTGCAACTAAACAAACCGCTTTTGACTATGGAGCTACGACTGGGCTGTCTGATTGTATCCCTGCTCATAGTATACTATATAGTTTGTATGCAACACTTTAGACAAACTATACATTTCGAGAATGAAGCACGGCGGCAGCTTCTTTAAGGAGGTCTCGGTACGCTTTTTGGTGGTTTTTATTCGGCGTCTGTGAATTTAAAACCAAAATATTCTCATATAACCAACGTGCTGTTTTTCTTTGATATTAAAGTGTGCTCACTTAATTAGCTAGTATGACTATCACACACAGACGGCAGTCATGCATTTCTTCTGGGTGGGGGGAAATTAAATAATATATATATTGTTATAAATGTATAATTTATTAATCTTTAAATATAAATAAACATTTTCTCAACAAACTTATGACTGCGCCAATAGCCTAGTGGTTAAGTGCGCTGATATAAAGCACCAATGCTTTCCTGCCTGTCCTTCACTATCCTATCTCGATAGAAAAGGCGAAAAAACCCTAAAAACAAAACAAAAAAATCTAGTTTGTGTCCAGCACTAATTGTGTTGTTGTTTATTTTAATTTATTAAAATTATTATTTTTTTTGATATCCACACTTTAAAGCCGTTTCATAGTAGAAAAACATTATCTGAAAGATATACTGACACTACTTTTAAATGTTTATTGGTATTATGCTGCTTGTTTAAAGGGATAGTTAATCATCCAAACAAGTGAAGTCTAAATGTACAATGACAGAAATGTCATTTTTGGAGAAATTTTCCATTTAAAGAAGACATCGGATGCCCATTTTACACTAGTTAATATGATTCTTTAGGGTCTTAATCAAAAGTATATAACTAACGTTGGTCAAATGCACAAAACATCTGCATCTGGGCACATTTTGCTGCTTGTGAGTTTGCTGGGACAGTCTTTCAGTGACACTGAAGGTACAGTAGACCCCAAGATCCCCTATGTCACTCCTCAGGGAACACTGTAAAAAGCAACACAATACTGAACATGTCATTATTGCTTATTTGAAGCATTCAATCTTTGAGCAAGTAAAATAAAAGGTTCAGTTCAAATATTCTGAACAATTTATTTGATAAATTTGAGGATTTAATAAAATTAAGGATGCAGGGCATTGTAGTGACATCAACTTTCCCTTCGACTGATGATTCCATAGATCAGTGATTCTCAACCGCGTTCCTGGAGCACCACCAGGCCTGCACATTTTCTTGTCTCCTTAATCAACAACCCACCTCTGGGACTGTTTATTTCTTTGCATTTTAACTTTGTAAACTATAAAATCATGGGTCTCCTCAAGGTTTGTTTCTCATTTCTCAACAGTTGTTCGCTCCCCTCCTTCTCCCCTGTCACTGGGGCACTACCTTTTCTAAAGGTACATATTTTTATCTGAGGGGTCCATAATGGTCCCTCAAAGGTACTTTTTAGGTACATTTGGGCACTAATATGCACCTTTGAGGTATCACTCTAAACTCTGGGTACGAATATGTATCTTTTGAAAAGGAACTGCCCCAGTGATGACTCCTGTTCCTTTAATTCTGAGAGTGCACTGTGTATTGATCTTTCTAACATGACTTGAAAACAACCATTCACTGCTAAAAAAAATGGTTCGTTATTAGCATTGAAGGTTCTATGAAGAACCTTAAAGAACCTATTATACAAAAATCACTTTTATAATGGGTTTAAGCAGTTTTGCGGCGACTGTGAATATAACCAGCTTTTAATAGTAAAAATATATAAAGAGGCACTTTGATATTCTCCTTTTGTATGTCATCAGAACAGAAAGCTCTGCTTATTAGAGACGGTCTCACCCTCGTTAGCATAGAACGTTAGTCTTGTTTGGAATCTGCCACTATGATGACACACAGGCATTTGTCGATCAGACCTCATAAAAAGAGGGTTGGGAACACAATCTAATTTAGATTTAAAGCGACAGTCACCAAAACCGCACAATTAGGATCAGAGCCTAAAAAGAGGCAGTTTCCAAGAGTTATAAAACATTTTTTGCGGGATATTTTGAGCTGTAACTTCACACACTCTAGGCAAATCAGAGACTTATTTTACATCTTGTAAGAAAGATAGAAAAGATTGACGCAGCTCGTAACGCAGCAAATTCAGTTTTTACTGTTGATATTTGGCGCCAGTTAATTATGAAGTGATGATTTGGTTCTCTTTCACTCGTTGGAAAGAAATGCTGCTTTATTCGCATGTCTTATATGCGATATTCCAGTTATGTGCATAGGTTTAATTTGCATCTTTGGATGGAAACGTAGCTTATGAAGAATGATCAACATTCATAGAACCTTTATTGGCAAAGACAGTTCTATGAAGAATCTTAAATTTAATCTTAAACCTGAAATTACAAAAGATTATTTTAAGAAGACGGTACATTTAGCTACGTTTCCATCCACCTATTTTTATGCGTATTTTGGATATGCGTATAAAAAAAACAATTGATGAAAATGCCAAGATGTGCATAAAAACATATCCGCATAACTGAGAAGCATAAACTTTTTAATCAATAAGGAACGATGGAAACAATTTTAGCGAACAATTTCCAGTATGCGTGTTAAAATGAAGTAATGTAAGAGATCCTATGATGATAAATATGTGTGTAAATGGTCAAACCAGCAGGCTGAGCACTTTGTAAAACATCTGAAATGTTGTTTTGGTCATTTTAAAATGCATTGACCATCTCAGTATTATTAGTGTTAATATATCATTAACGACCTCCATAATCAAGAGCATCTGTGCTAAGCGTCTCATGCCTTTAAACAACACAGGGCCTTCACTGCGTGTCAGGATTGCCTTCAAAGGTGCAAGTCATTTATTAAATGAAGAAAAGATTCACGCAGCTTCTCTTAATGCAGCAAATTCCATTTTTACTGTTGATATTTGGCACCAGATAATCAGGAAGTGATAATTTTGTTCTCTTTGGCTCATTGGATGGAAACACTGCTTTATTTGCTCATCTTTTATGCGCTAATCCAGTTTTGCGCATAAAGCATTTTAGGATTGGAGCCCAAACTTCTTGGCATTCTCTATCAGAACCTTTTAGACCTACATTGTGGTTAAGCTTCTGGTGATACGTAACTGTTAGTATTCCTTAACTTGTGGTTTTCTCGACGTAAATGGTGCTTTATCAATGTTTATGCAGTGGCCAGATTAACTTAAGCTCATTTATGCAAAATTTTCTCTTACAATGCCATACGCATTGAGTGAATAAATATGTCCATGTCTTTGTGCAGAATGTCATCAGAGGAAAAGAGTCTGGAGCCCTCTGAGCAAGGACCATCTCCTCCCCTGAGCAGTGCTGGGGCCACACCCTCAGGGAGCCCGGCCCCCTTAGACAGACGCCCGCGGGGCCGGCCACGCAAGGATGCTTCCTCTGTCACAGTCACACCCAAGTCCAGAAGAAAGTAAGCACATCTCCTATTCTCACGTAAAGCTCTTTGCATATGATGACACACTGCGAGAGCTGACCTTGTGTCTGTTTTGCATTTAACTCTGTGTTGCTTGAAGTAGGACGAATGGTATAAATTACTGACATTTTGATTGTATTGAAGAGCTTGATGAAAGAAACCACTGACACCTATGAATAGAAACGTTTCTGGTTTATTAGTCAAGGGTTATGTAATGATATTTTGGCATTGACTTTTCAGTAGATTGGCTGAACCGATGGTTTTTCAGTTCATCATATAATCGATAACATCAGGAATGTTTGTGATATTTAAGGTCATTTATTAGGCTACTTAATGCTGTCATGAGGTTGTGATGACCTTATTATCTTTCCTGCGCTACAACCTAAACCCAACCCCCTCTTTTTTTGTTAATAACAGCCAGTTATTCAGCAACTCCCCTATGCGCATTTAAACTATTCATTAAGTGCAGTGAATTATTTAACTGCTTTCTATTAAGAAACCTTCTGGATAAATCATGTGATTAGGGTCTCAGGCTTATTTGTTTGTTAAGTCGTGACGTATGGAATATTGTTTCCGGGTCTAAGCCGTTACTCATTTGAATTGAGAAAATATTTGTTTATGGACACTTTTTTTTGTCATATCACACATTAAAGTAAATTAATATTATATAAAATCATGGTGTACACGACAATCTCTGGACTTGCTGCATTACCGACATCAATAGATTAACAATTTATAAAAAAATCTATCACTTTTCAGTCATCTGATATCAAATATATATATATATATATATATATATATATATATATATATATATATATATATATATATATATATATATATATATATATATATATATATTGCGATATAAAAGTATTGCATCAGTTTGTAAATGTTTATTATTACAATTTAATGAGCCTCCTTGTCCAGTTTGTTACATCGATTAGATTCGGAAGCCGCTTCGCGTCATATCACACTTAACAAGCGGATAAAGTATTTATTTATATATTTTTTTGCATTTGTAGGGTACTGCAATTGTAGCCTGTCTATTTGTGGACATTTAAAAGGTTTCCCTCATTGCATTTTGTTGGGGGTTCTCTGTGAATGTGTGCTCTGTTAAAGACTGTGCCATCTCTGTATGACCAGCGCAAAAGTTTGGTTTGCCTTGTCAGCAATAAGACAGACTTGTTTCCAGTGTATGTTAGACTCCATTGGGACTGCCCTTTGTCAACGGTTCTGTTCATTGTTTTTATGGACGAAATTTCTCGGTGCTGTCTTTGGCCGGTGAGGGTCTGGTTCGGGTGTAAATAGTGGGTGCGATCGGGTTTAGGAGTAAAACCCTGACCTCTGTAGGTATGAGTTTGTATGGGGCGGCTTCTGGTTCTGGAACGCTGTCCGCCTGTCAGTGACCACTGATCCTGGCTATGTATGAGTTTTTTATTTTGCAAGGAAATCAGCATTCGTTATTTTTTTGTCAACGGTTCTGTTCATTATTTTTATGGACCAAATTTTTAGGCGCAGTTTTGGGCCGGTCGTGGTCTGGTTTCGGGTATAAATAGTGGGAGCGATTGGGTTACTGAGTAAAACCCTGAACTCTGTAGGCTGTAGGTACGAGTTTGTATGGGACGGCTTCTAGTTTTGGACCGCTGTCTGCCTGTCAGTGACCAGTAATCCAGGCTATGAGTTTGTTTTGTTCGGTTTTTTTTGCAAGGAAATAAGCATTTGTTATTTTTTGTCTGTCGGAATTTACATTGAGCATTTGTTGAAACACTAATGCCAGTGTTCTTTGTCTTGATCTTAGCTGTGCTTTTGCGCTTTATCTCCTTCCCTTGCTATGCTGAACTCTTACAAACTCAACACAGCAACACATGAAGAAATGTGACAACAGATTTAAATACTAAGGGGTCTTCGTACATCTAATGGATGTGTAAGATATTAAGAAGCGTACAAAGGCGGAAAGTTTTTGCTTTGGAAGTATGGAGTGTGACATTTATAGACAGATTGGCAGAGCAGCGATCAGATGAATGTTTTCATCATTGAATTTTTTAATCACACCGGTGTGATCGTACCCTACCGAGACCAGCCAAGACTGATCACATCGGTTTGATTGTACACATTACAAGTTTAAATAATAAAATATTATCACAAAGGAATACTAAAATATACAAAAAACTATTTGTTTTTTTTCATGGAAAACAAAGAAGACATTTAAGCATCTAATTTGTTTCTCAGCACTTTTTATTAGACAAATTAAAAGCTGGTTGCTGGATGTTGCGTTCCACTATTCACGTGGCAATTCAAGTGACCCAATCGCAGAGGAGATGTAGAATTGATGTGGCGCATATGGTACTGCGAAAACGTTATTTAATTCACAGTAAGCCTTATCGCGGTCGCATTTTTGTTTTGATGAATTGTGCAGCCCTGCCAGTATGCATGCCTGTAGAAGTGTGCGTGTTGAGAGGGCTGCATTCTGCTGAAGTATTCTGCTGCACCTGGAAGAGGCTTTCAAGTGTGTCGATGTGCATTAGTGTGGAAGAGCTCTGCGAGGCACACAAGGAGATGCTGCTCCAAAAGGGGCGACATTTTCTTTTTGCCAAGTTGATTTTGGCCCTGAAATATATCTGCTCGCACACTGCAAGTGGGGAGGGGTTTCGAAAGGAAAAATATTACACTGACTGTTATTTCGAATGACACTGTGTCTATCTTGTGTCGATGTGAGCATTGTGATGGTATAAAGCTAGATTGATTTTCTCATAATCAGCAGAATTGTTTATACTACTACCAACATGGTATGTCATAAGTTTTTGATGACCTGGATCCTTTTTTGATTGTGTGCACTTTTTGGGGTAGTGGGATTTTCAACTAATCTGACAGTTTATTTACCCTGTGTATCTGAAATAACACAGTAGTTCACCTAAAATCATAACTCCAGATGTTTCTTCATACTTTCAGTCTTTCACAAAGCACAAAAGGAGAAAATTTGAAGGCCATTTTCCATGTAGTTACCTTTGATAGCGACGATCTTTCAATAATCCAAAAAAAAAGGACACAAAAGCTGGTCCATATGAGCCCAAGTCTTCAGAAGACCCACAATAGCTTTATGCAAGAACCCGACTGGAAGAGTTGATTTATTCCGGTTTAAATTGGTTTTGTAGAGTCTTTTAAAAGTGTTCTATTAAAGTCGTACAGTACATGGTCATGCTGACACCGTGGAGATGACTATCATCAAAGTGACTCTCTTTTTTGAAGTAGTTGTTTGGGAAGCACAAGTTGACACAGCATCTCGCCATATTCTAATGTCTATTGCATTCCACCAATAATGCCATGAGCTTTTGAATACGATTAAACTCTTACATAGACCTTTTATTTGTTTTCAGAAGTTTAGCAAGGGTGTTTCATGAGTATCAAGCCTGTGATGGGAATACAGGGCCTCCACTATGAGATCAAGTGTTGGCCGTCAAATAAACAGTGCAGATATAGGGCAGATTAGTGAGGTACCTGATACGGCAGGTACAGCCCTCTGTGGACCTGCACACCATGTTCACACCATGAATGTTGTGTCTCACTGCACAAAACGCACTCAGTTGAGCTCTCGGTTTCAAAGTGATTGTGCCGTTGTCTGAAGTGGCTGAATGGAAAGCCTTTCGGTTAATCCTCATATTATGTTCCAATTCTGGCTATGATTTTTAATGTTGTGGGTCAAATTGACTCTAATTGGATTCAGAACAGTTCATTACATACCACACAATGATAATGAAACACAATCAAGGTTAAATAAGTTTACTGGGTAAAAACTATTAATACTTCTCACACAAAAGAAAAATAAACTTCAAACAGCACATCAAGTTTTTAAAACTTTAACAGCTGAAAATTCATTTTTATTCAGGGTTTCTGCAGGTCGCAAAGTCTAAACATTTAACATTATGAAATCCAAAAATTATTATTTGTAAGGCCAATTATCATCTATATATCTGTATAAACCTCTGTATCAGTATATATCATGTGTATATATGAAATCATTTTTACTGTATAATGTTTAGGGGTCACATAAAGAGAATTTATTAGGGGTGTCAAAATTAATTGTTTCTTCGGTGCACCGCGATGCAGACGCTGACAATTCGGTATCGATTCTGTAATAATCGTTACCGGTCATTATGTACTGACGTCATTTATCTCATATGCGCTCTGTCGCGAGGGAGGCGGGCACAGGAATTTACAAGACTGCAGGCGCCAACTACTTAAAAACGCAGGAATTGTGCACAATTTCACTACGTGTGTGTTTGTTTTCTGGACAGTCTTTCTCTGACACTTACAGCAGAAGCCCCTGTTTCACTGCGATTGAGGGAATGAAAGCGAACTCCATTTCTCTCTCTCTCTTACTGTGGCCCATTTCACCCTCTGCGATGACTTTTACTCTCGGCTGCTGGCGCGACTTTTCCTCCCCTCTCTTTTCCTCTCGGCTGTTATAGTGATACCCCTGGATATAGGTCTGCATTCCCGTGGCTGTACCTGTGTATTGTCGCGGAACCCAACCAGATTTCATGCGGCGCGGGAATAAATTTCATAATAAAGCGTGGGAGCGGTCGGTAACTCTGGTGTAATTTGAACAGGATTGGGTGGTTTCACAATATTGCTCCCGAGCGAGCAAGCAAGCAAGCGCGTGCGTGTGTGTGTGTTTATTTGGTTGGTGCTGTCTATGTTTGTGTATGTGTGTAAATGAGAGACAGCGTGATGCTGTGTGTCTATGTGTGTGTCTGTGTGTGTTTATACAGACAGCTTGTTATAGCCCTCCCCCAAAAAATATAGCTCTGTGTATGGAATGCCTCGTCGATGCAGCGAGATATGGAATTGAACCGAATTGATGGCATGATAATCGTAATCGAACCGTGAGACCAGTATAGGTTCACACCTCTAGAATTTATAGTAACTGTTGATAGCATTGTCATAGAGGTCTATTGATCAGAAAGTACAGGTTATTTCCACATTTAATTGGATAA